TTTATAGGGTATATTTGACCCTTTATTTTTGATATAAACTCTATTTTCTTTTGTGAATAAACATATTTGGTCGCATTGGCAATAAGTCGACATATTGGTTTTATATTGCATTTACAACAAGTGATATATGTTTTCTGTGATATTTCTGCTTTATATTTGAAATACTTTTATTGTTTTAGTTTATTTCTTAGTTATTTTAGTTATTTTTATCTTAGTATTAGGAATATAACTTATATTTTTTTTTAACACATTTCTTAACCACTCATTCACGTTAAGTCAAGTAATATTCTTGCTTGATTTAACTGGCGACGACATATTTATTAAACAAATATTTAGAATCTAGTTAGGTTAAGCAACCATATTACAATATAAAACATGTACCCAATATAAGTATTAATAAAAAGCTCGGACCAAAGAGGTCATCTTAATACTGAAAAAAAAAAAATTTAATAATATAAACTCTAATATTTTTATTAAAAAAAACAATATCATTAATGTTAGATATAAAATATAGTGTAATTTAATGCTTTGATATATACTTATTTAGAAAATATATATTTAAATTGAATACTTAAATTTTCCATTAGCATTTGAATAAGAATTAACAAAAAAACAAAAATATAAAAAAAAAAGCTAGAAAAATAATTACAAAAAAAATAAGAAAAATATCAAAAAAATATTTTTTAGCTAATAATACAAACAAAAGTAATTATAATATCACACAAGGCATGTATTAAGCTCTTTAACATAGGGTCTTAAGAGTGACATTGAGACTGAAACTGTTCTAAAAATGTCTATCATTCAAAGTTGAATAGACTGTTATACTCATCAACATCGTGAGTATGCAACTCAAATAAGTATAATTTGAAATTCTAACATAATATAAATTGTAATATGTAACTCTTTAGTAATAAAGTTTTATGTATTCTTGCTTATAAAAAAGGAATTCATATGCTTTAAAAACATTATAACCCGTTTTTTGATTTTTTTTTTTTTTTTTTTAAGATTAGTTTTTGATTGGAAAATAAGATCAAAAAAGTAAATCATAATGTTTCTAGTGCTAATATTATAATAAAAATGCATGAAATAGTAAAATTGCAAGTTGGTTTTTATCCCGGAATCTGGCGTTGTCAGCAAATAACTTTTTTTTATTATTAATAACTAAACAAAAGGACTAAATGTCTTGAAGTTTTATACGTATAATACGTTTTGTTATATATTTGACACAAACAAGCTTTTTTTTGATGATGTTATATTATGCCTAAAAACCGCTACCTGCTAGATTTTCTTTAATGATCTACCCCAAATAATACTAATAATTTTCATTGATTCGAAGGCAGATTACAATAAAGCATAGCGATAGTTTAAAATTGGGTTTGTATTACTTTATCTAATAAATAAAAACAAAATCACTTAAAGAAAAAAATAAAATTTTAATTGATCAAATTTCATGAATTTGATTAATTAAAATTTTTAAAAAATTTTTAAACTGCCTATTTGTTTTAATATGTTTCATTTTTAATTTTTTTTTAATTATATATTTTTTAAACTATAGATTTTAAAAAGTTATTATACCTTTTTAAAACTAAAGTCACTAAGTTGTAGTAAATTATTTTATTTACAAAATAGTGGCTTTCTTTTTTTAATATCTTATTTAGATCAAAAGTTATTAGCTTTTAAAGTTTGTGTAGTCTTTAAGTGTCACGCACTGTATAAGCACAAGTTTTGAATTTTATTAAGATTATAGAGATCTGACAGTATATATTTTTAAGTTAAAATAATAAGATAGATATTCGACGAATAAGCACAGTAACCAGAGACATGTTCTGTGTATATTATTAACTCTAATACCCAATCAATTAGACATCCTCGGCAAAATAGAAATTACTTATCGTTAGCATCGTTAGTAAAGTAATAAATATTGCGACACGTATTATAAGATTAAATGTTTATATTTTGCCTAATATATTATTCCAAATTACAAATTACATTTTATGATTTGTGCAATATCGATATGATATGTAACGTTAAACTCAATGGGACTTTTTTTTCTTTATGTAATTAAATTCGTCGATAAATTTACGTTTACCGTTACAGTTTATGTATTTCGTATAATCGACTTTGTACCATACAATAATAACGAGAAAAAAATTCTTTTCTCCGAATTTGTTATTTAATAAAACCAAATTTATACTTATTTCGCGTCAGTTACGTAGATGAGTATAATGCTCTGTAAAATAATGATATCGATATATAAACTATTAATTATTATAGATTAATTTTTTCAAACATCAGATATCTTTACATTATTAAGATACGAGGCAAAAGATTCGAAACACAGGGGTACGCAGGATCAATTTTATCTAACAACGCCGTTAAAATTAAATGTTAACAAATTACCTGAAGTTACCAAATAAAATGCCAAAACTTGGATCTAAGGCGGAGGTGTTGCTTATTATATTCTGGTTTAGTTTCAAAAACTTGAGGATTATTAGTCTGAATTTCGATATATTTTATGTATAATAACGGTAGGTTTAAAAATCACGAGATTATAACATACTGCGCCACAGAGCTTCCAATTATATCTAGCACACTAAAGTCACTAAAAGATCTATGATTTGACAAAATCTTTTGTTTGGATCCACATTGCTTAAAGACGTAACCGGTTTATTTATATTTCATTTCTCCTTGTTAGAAATTTCATTGGGGAAACCTCGGGAAGATCTAAATTAAATTTAATAATTCCAAGAATTGACAAGCAAGTTTTGTATATAACAAAAATCATTCGTATTCAATAAAATTACTTAATTTAAATTACAGTAAATTGTTATTGTGTGAATTGTTAAAGAAAGAATTACATTGTTTTGAATTAAAGTTATGCAACTCCAGTTTTTTTAAGTCAAAAATTTGCATAAATCAAAATTTCGTACTTGCATTAAGTAGACCATGTGCGTCGTTCACGCTTGTACGTATGTGACGGAAACAAAAGTGATACTACATAGCCATACATATAGTGCTCGACATTTTATTCTTATTATTATTGTTCATTTGTTCATTTGATTCGAAAGTTTACTACGTAAAACTTGAAAGATTTTTTTTTTCACCTCTTTATAAGATATCGTCATTACTACTTTAGTAAAACAAATTATTTTGATTCATTCATTTTTACAACTTTCCAACTTTCTATGTAATTTTCTTTTACTGTCTTTCTTTTTTCCCTGTGTACATATATATATCTTTTATATTTTTGCTAGTCAAAATCTTTCATCAGTAAATATCCCATTATGCATTTTGAAGCTGATGAGACCTGTTGCATGGGTTGTCATAGCCTTATAGAAGAAGGAAATGTTGTTGCTTTCGGCGATGGTATATGGCATGTCCAATGGTAAATTATTTTTTCAAGTTTATTTAATTTATTCCTCCTTTTCTCTTTTTTTCAGCTTATTTATTTATTTGCTTTTTCCTTCAAATTGATCATTTAGCTTTCGATGTGCAAAATGTAATAACCTGATAGAGCATGACACCAATATCTTACTCTTATCGGACGGCAATCCAATATGTGAAAACTGTTCATACAATTGTAACGTTTGTAAAAAACCTATATTGGATGAGGCAATTATGACAGGTTAGTTATTGTGACTTTAAAGTTTGTCTTATTTGTTTATTAATTTGTCATGTTTTATTCATTTATAATTAACAGGTGATGAGTCTTTTCACGTTGATTGCTTTCGTTGTCGTCAGTGTCGTTCCAAGATTGATGATTTAGTATTTGCGAAAACTAATCAGGTATTTGATAAATTTTTTATCAAATATATATGTATTGGATGTTTTTTCAACTTATTTAAATCACTTCTTGTTTAAATGATATTAAGCAAGATGCGATGCAATTTTTATAAATTTTTATCAATTTATCAATTAAAAAAAATAAAATAATAATAATAATTAATCATGAAATCGCTTATCCATTGGCAATTTTTTCGTTACACTCGAAAAAGGGAATATATTGCATGAGGTGCCATAACGAAAGGGTCAATAAAGCAAAGCAAGTTAAAGAGACGAAAGAGAAGATGAATTTCCATTTATCTCCATCTAATCTAGACAAAACTCTACCATCTTTACCCGATGAGGCTTCAAAGGTAAGTTATTAAAAATAATTGGTTTATATTATGAGCTTGTTAATATCATAAATTTGTTAATTAATCTTTTTTTATATTCAAAATAAAATAAAATAGAATAACGGTAAACTTGGTCTTCCAAATCATACTATACATCCGAAACGTTCTTTCGAACGTGATGTTACTCAACAAAAAAGAATGACAAGGTCGTCTTTAGAATCCGTTGATCCTATACCAAAATCTCATACTCTTCCTGTCTCTGAAGATGCTGGTATAAATCGTCGTCATTCTCGACTATTTGATAACCAGCTTGCTGATATGATTAAAAATAAAACTACTCCAAAGATTTTAGATCAATTCACTGGAAAGTTTAATAGTCATCAACGTTCCGATGATAAACAAAAATCGCGTGAGGATTTGCCAAAAAAACACGGTATTTTTTCAAAAAGGAATGATTCTATAGAAAATCTTGCAAGAATGTTTCCATCCAAGAATCGTGGTGAAATAAATGAAAAACATTCTAGAAATCCCTCCATCACAAGTTCACAGAGCGAACCTTATGACGGTTCGAGTCATACGTTTTCTCTTAATAGTAATCATAGTGATAAAATGGAACTTTGGTCAAAAAGTACGCATAGAAAAATTAGCTCTTCATCTTCCATAAAGAAAAAAACTTTACAAAATCAACAACAATTGCATCATATTGATGAGCGATCAAATTCTCCTTCATCTAATGATGTCCCTTCTTATTCAACTTACTATCCGTCACGTTCAAATTCTCCATCAACCCCTTCTTCAAATTCTCCCACGAGTCCAGATTTTCCTTCATCTACTAATAGCGACGTAACTCCTCGCAAAGGTGTTTATGATAATGGTCCGCCCGTTTTACCACCTTTATCTTTCTCCGATAAAACTAACGATGGAAATCTCGATGATGCTTTGTCTGATATAAAAATAGAATCTGATATAAAGATAGAACCTAGTATATTTTCAGGTGACTTTTCCGATGAAAGAAGTTTTAAATCACAAAACGGTTCTACAAAGACTGAATCTATTGGTGATAATTCTCCTGGTGAATCCCCTATGTCACCTGAACGAAAAGATAGTATGTCATCTTTAACTTCTGCTTCTAGTAAGGAAAATGAAATAATAATTACTGAGCCTGAAGATGCTTCACCTGAAGAATTGAAAAAACAATTATTTGAATTAAAAAAGAAGATGGCCGAGTCTGAAAGCAATTTTCGAAAGATTAAAGTACTTTACTTTTTTTTTTTTTTTTTAATTAACATTTATTAATTTATTAATAAAATTTATGTAGAATAATTATGTTAATATTTAAATATTATAATATTATATTTCTAATTTATATTAGAGAGTCAGTCAAAGAGCATTCGATGAATTTAGAATGGCTAAAGAAGATTTTAATACCGAAGTTGCTTTGCGGCGTAAAGCTGAAGAAACTGTTGAGAGTTTACGTGCTGAACTTGAACTTCAACATAAAACATTAGAAACTGCAAGATTAGATAGAGAACATTTTGAAAAGATTCTAAAAGATTCAAATTTATCAATGAATCAATTGCAATTATTACAAAATGATTTGAAAGAATTGAATTTGCAAAAAGAGATTATCATTAATGAATTAGAAGTATTAGCTAAAGAAAAGCAAGCTGGTCTTGCTGAGTAAGTTCGCTTATGTGACTTTTATTTAAAATGTGTGTTACCCACATTTTTTTAACGAGTTATTTTAAAAATTATTAGAAACACTCCAAATGTGTCAAATAATCTTCCGGGTTCTATCGCCAAACATTTATCAACTCAATTTGATTTAGTCAAACAAAACTATTTGTCCGACATTAAATCACTTCAAGTGGAAAAGGACTCTTTATTACAGGAAACTGAGGAACTTCGAAACAAACGAGACCAATATAATGAGGATGTGAAACTTTTAAACGCCAAGAATTTGGAACTTACTGAAATGAATAATGAACTAATACGGCAAATTGAAGTACATGGTAAAGGAAAAATTGCAAATAAATTTTTCAAGAATAATAAAACTTCTGGTTATGATGCTACCAAGCAATCTCATTTTATTGATCATGAATGTACGGATGCCACTCCAATTGTTTCCGTGAGGAACGTTGACCGTCGTAATAGTGCAGTTACGCAACCAAGAGTGTTCCAATGGATAGCTAGAAAAGGAAAAGGAAAATTCAATAAATTTTTAGCAAGCACAAATGTTATTGGCTCTCCAGCGCATATTAGTGATAACAATCGAGAAGAGGCGAAAAAGAGAATGATGAACCAATTGATTATTAATCAAGACACTTATCCAACTTATCATGGAGTGTCTACGGAAAATGATTGTGAAAATAATAGTATGTTTGGTCTTGATCTTACAAAGCAGGCTGAATTGGATGGAGATGAAGTGCCGTATATAGTATTGAAGTGTATATTGGCTGTTGAACTTCGAGGTAAACTTAACATTTTGTTTACAGTCTGATTTGATCTGGTTTATTACGGTTTATAGTTTTAATACTTAATCGATCTAGACTGGTCTAGTCTCAAGAGTCTAGACTAACTTATATCAGTTTTGAACTAGTCTTAAGACAGACTGTGTTTATAAGTTTAGACCAGATTACATAATATTATTATTTGTATCCGATAATTTATAAAATTGGCTACTATTTCAACAGGAATGGATCTTGAAGGAATTTACCGGAAATCTGGTGGTGCTACACAAATGCGTGAAATTATAGCGGCTTTTGACCAAGGGAAAGATTTTGATCTAGAAACACCTCATCAATTTAATGATATCTGCGCGGTTACCAGTGTACTTAAACATTATTTGCGCGTACTACCAAATCCTTTATTAACATTTGAATTATATCAGGGTTTTATAGATGCAATTGGTAAGTAAATGGATAAAGACCCTTGTCGAATATATTTGTTTCACTTTAATTCATTACTTTATTATTTCAAAAAGCTTTGGAAGATGGTGATGAAAAACTCGAAAGATTCCGACAGCTTACGCTACAATTGCCAAGAGTTCATTATTCTACTACAAGGCATCTCATGTTACATTTGGACAGGTAAGACCCTTTGTCTTTTTAATTTGCATTAAGAAAATGATCTAATTCCGTTTTATAAATAACAGGGTCAGACAACAGGGTGCTGATAACCGCATGAATGCTAAAAATCTATCTGTCGTATTTGGGCCTACGTTACTTCGCGGTCCAAATCCTAGTAATGAACTTTTTGATATGAATTCCAAAAACATGATAGTCGAATACATCATTGAAAATGTTAGTACACTTTTTCAAACACCAAGTAATCAGAATCATATCGAAAGAAGGAAAGATGGATTCATATGATTAACTGCTATTTTTATTTAATATGTAATACATAAAAAGTCCAAAAGGCAATCAATCACTTTTAATTTAGAGATAAAATTTTATTTATACTGTAATAATGTTATTCAAATATTTTTTTTTTGGAAAATGGTACATACAAAATCACTATAAAAATTCTTTTTTATTTTATGTACCTATTGCTAATAGATTTAGCTGTATAAATAAGTTTTGGGTTTAAAAAAGGCACTACATGTTTATTATTGTACATGTTTATACAACATACATCGCATTAAAACTGTTATCATATGTAAAATTATATATTTGTATCGTCAATAATAATTATAATAAAAAAATAATAGATTTTTTTTCTTATTTATTCAAGACACTCTGCAATGTATAAGCGAGAAGCTCTAAATTCCTGCACCTAATTCACAAGGGATATTACCTAATCTTGGCGCCTTAATTACATAATATGTAACAAAATCGAGTATTATGTATTTAACTGCATTTTACCCAACCGTTAAACTCAAACAAGTGATATTCTCAGATTAACTTATTATTAACTACAAATTTATATCCTCTGAAACGTAATTTATTTCCGGATGTACAATATATAATACATACTATAATACATATATTTTTGTAACACGAATTTGATGAGCCAAGGAAAACGTCATGTTTAATATGTTTAATGTAAATGATTTAGTACCAATTCTAATACTGGAGATAATATAAAGCCAAGTAAATTTTTTTTTAAAAATTAACATTAATTACTTAATTGCTAATTTATTTGTAAATTAACTTTCACATGAAACATTAAAAATATCCCAGGGCTTTAACGTTGTTAGAGGCTTCCAAATTAGTAAATTTCATTTTCTTTGTCCAAGTGATATACAAAAAGATTTATACGTATAGTTTTATTCGTATCAAAGTTCTTTGTTCACGATTTTCAAAGATATATATTTCAAGGTTATACTACATAGGAAAATGGAAATTAATTATCGTCCGGGAAATTAACTTTTTGGACATGAAAAAATATTTTTAAAAACTGAATTTAATAAATTTTAAAGTTTAGTTTAGATAGAGTTTGTAAAGTGTTCAGTTTATCCGGGTTTGGTTTAGAGTTGATACGTAGTATATGAGTGATGCCAAGACAAGTTTATTTATTATTGCCTTGACCATGTAATTAAATTTACTTGCGACATATATGTTACTGATCAGAATAAATTATAAATAATAAATTTGAAAGCTTGAATTTTGTTTTTCTTGGCGAGCGATAATAATATGGTATCAGCACCTTTTTTTATGCTGTATAAATATTTATATTATTATTAAAAATTTTTTGCGTAATCGTAATATAGCTGTACGTACTTATTTTCGCACATCTGAAATTTGTGTCAGGTTATGTCGATCACCAAATCGAAAGAGTTTAAAAATCGGAATTTAGGATTTAAAGCAGGCTTTAATTTACTTGATGCTCGCTATTTAAATATGCTCTCATATAACTAAAATTTCGTGATGAAATCTTTTATTTAGAAGTCAAACTTTGGTTATCATAGTAAAATCTCGAGTTATTCACGATTTTCGAATTTTGTCTACAATCAGCAATGATCGACATAATATGTTACATATTTCTGGCATGCCATATTTTTAGCCAATCAACGAGTTTAATTTTGGATCATTTCAGATCAGCCTGACATAGAATCCGAACACATGTGAAAGAAGAAAAAGAGCAAAGAAAGCAAAAATACTCGAAAACTAATGTTTAAACCGAACTTGGTTTACTAATAAAAAATGTCGGTAACAAAATTTTATATATAAAAAGTAGCAATTTACTTATATATAAGGTAGATATGCCTAATTTGGCGCAGTGCCTAGTTTGGTGCACTAATGATATCTTGTGAACTGTTAATCAGAATTGCATGATTTTGATACCATTTATTTTGTTTTATTGAAATGAATTGAATGGTATCAAAATTATATAATTCTAATTAAAGAGTTTATGAAATATTATTATTGTCCAAAGCAAGCAGAAGACTTATTGTCCAGAGCATAGCGGAGAACATTTAATGATTACACATAGTAATACAAAAGTTGTGTTTTTGATGCACCAATAGTTACGTTTTTGATTAATTAATTTTTAATGCATCAAAAATATAATTTTGAAAATTCTTGTCTGTCCGCACGTGTGTCTATATTTGTATTTTAGTGTAACAAACAACATGCAATTATGCAATATGATGATCATGTGCTCTGGGCACACAATGTTACACATTAACCTAGTTGTCTGGAGTATAGTGGAGAACATTTAATAATTATGCATGGTGATACAAAAGTTGCATTTTTGATGCATTAATAGTTACGTTTTTGATTAATTAATTATTAATGCATCAAAAACATAATTTTGAATATTTTTTTTTGTCTGTACATGTGTCTATATTTGTACTTTTAGTATAACAAACAACATGCAATCACGCAATATGATAATCATGTGTTCTAAATATACAATGTTATATATTAATTTAGTACTTCTAGACAATTTCAATGCACGATCATGCAATGTCTGTCTAAAAAAACTAATAAAATTCATTATATATAATAATTGTATCTAGGATGCAAATTATGAGTGATGCATAACATTTTGAAATATAATATTATAAATCTCAAACTAAAAATTGTTCCAAAACCCAAATCCTAAGAGTTTTATGATACTTTGGAATTTTAATGAGTTCTGTTTTCTAGTTTAACTAAAATCAATTATATATAATATTACAAAATAGATTTTTAGTATTGTTATAAATAAAAACCTTCTTAATTTTCATATTACAGTCAGACCCTTCTAAATGCATGTCATCGGGACCAGCTTTGAAGCGTGCATTTAGGCGGGGTTGCAATTAGGGAATAACTAATAATATCGTAGTAAAAAATGATCATGTGATCATTCATTAGCCAATAATTGATTGCTATCTATATCTCTGTACTTTATATCTCTATACAATTTACACTAAAGTCAACGAAATTTCGAATAAAAAGACAACAGCATATTTTAAATTTAATTATAAGATTGGTGCCTCTATATAATACAATATAATTTTGACAAATGTTTATACCTTAAAATATTTATTACAAGCTTAAGATTAAAAGAAATTAATTTTTTTTTTTAAGTTGAGCGAACTTTTATAGTTATTTATTCATGGTACATTGTTTTAAATTCTAGTTTATGGCATATGTACATATAGTACTTATGTTATTCTCCTTTGATCAGATTGCTGATCATCTATTTACTATACATTCCTTTACTAGATCACTCAGTTTAGTTCAATTTAGGTAGTTCAAGGAAATTAGATAATTTATCATTTTTCTTTTTGTCAAACGATTATTAAAATAAATATCGATGAATTTCAGTTAAATATCATCGAAATTGTTAAAAAAAAAAGATGAAATGGGCCCTTTTTTTCTTTTTCTTTTTTTTTCCATATTTTTTTTTTTCCTTTTTTTTTTTTTATTTTTTATTTTTATTTTTTTTAAAAAAAAATGGTTAAGAATCTACTAATTTGAAAAAGGCTTCAAGATCAACTTGTCTCAAAGACGCATTTTGGAATTTCCTTATTGCCCTCTGTAACTTAGATAGAGCTTCATCATGTTCTGATCGAGCCATATTACCAAAATCCTGCTGGAAAAGGTATTGTTCAAGTAAGCCTACAGTGTTTAGTGCTTCATTATGAGTAATCTGGCATATTTCTACGCTGTTATCCTCATTGTCATTTTGATTTTCCTCAGGTACCACACTAGTGGTTAGGTTCAGGATTTCTTGGTCAGTTAATATTTCAGTTGTATTACTTTCTTCCAGATAATTAATAAAATTGTCAAGATCCATTACATTTCGAAGGCAGAGTGCCTCAATATCCATATGCAATTCTTTTATTAACTCATTATCATTATCATTACTAACAAGTTCTTCATTATCTTGAATAACCGGAAGGATTTCAGTATATTTAAAGCAATTATGCACCATTTCTGATGATATTTCTTTCCATGCGTGAGCAATATATTTTATAGCAGTAAGAACATCTATTTTATTATTCTCTCCACATTCATACTGATCAAGCAACTACTTTATAAAATAATTACGATAGCGACATTTGAATGACATAATGATACCGACATCCATAGGTTGAAGGTAAGATGTGGTGTTCAGAGGAAGGCAATGAACGGTTGTATTATGAAGGTTCAAATTACTTCAAGAATGAGATTTTGCACTATCCACTAAAAGAATCACCTTGCGACTAGCCATCTTTAAGTCGAATTCCTTTAGCCATTTTTGAAATAATATAGTAGTCATTCATGCTTTGCTACTAGCCCTGTAGGTAACACCATGCTTGTTTTTATTCACACCTTTAAAGCAACGTGAGTTGGAAGACTTACCAATAACAAACAGCTTTATTTTATCCATTCCATCTGCATTGGCACAAAATGCCACAGTCAATCATCCTTATCCTTTTTCTTACCTTTAAGACGAACAGTCGCAAGTGTGGTATCTGGTTCGAGACTAAAAGGTGAAAAAAAAAATTAAAATTAAGATTGAAAGCTTAGGCTATACAAAATTAATTAATTGTTTTTATAACTTAGTTGGGTCAAGGTTTGGAAACTTTAAAAAACATTTTTTTATTTGTTTTAATAACTAAGTAGGTTTTAAAAATTTTTTTAAAAAAATTTTATGAAACTTTTAGATATGAAATTTAAAAAAAAAGCTGACCAGACGGTTTACTTAAGTTTCATGTTATGAAACCAAGATATTAAATTTATATAGCCTTAGTTTGTTTTTTTTTATTACTAATAGAATAATCCTGTCTCGTCCATGTTATAGATATCTCTCAAGTCATATCCTTTTAAAGTTTTTCTTAGCTTAGGAATGGTGGCTGCGACAACATCATCATCTACGGAAGCAGCTTCACCATGCTTTGTTATTTTTCTCAAGCCGTGTCTTTTTTTAAACTTAAATAGCCAGCCAGGAGAGAATTTAAGATCACCATCAGGTATATTTAACATATTAGCAAAAACTTTCGCTTTTTCAACTACAATCGCATCACTTAATATGACTCTATCTTGGTTTTGCAAAATCCATTCTAGCAATGCATTTTCAAGGTCAGGATATTGGACCATTTTTTGTCTTTTTGCAGATGAGTTACTTTCAATATTATCCTTATTCTTTAATAAGCGACCAATAGTGCTTTGATGAACTTCAAGGCCAAATTTTTTTTTTACCCAATCGACGAGTTCAACATGGCTGGTGTTAGGATGTTTTTCTTTAAATGCAATGATCTCCTTTCTTTGCTCGTTACTAAGGGTGGTTTTATCTTTTTATTTTTTAGAAGACATGTTACAGTTATTATTTGCACACACAGGAAAATTTTTTGACAAACTTTATATTAGTTATTTTTATTAATGACCAAAGTGATGAGCATTTATATTTTTTGGTTGTAGATATCAATCAGAGCCACCAGATTTTAATAGCATCTAAAATAGCACTGGTGATATCACGAAAACAATAACAATAGTAGAATTTGGTTATAATATTACTAGTGCTATTTTAGATGCTACTAAAATTCGGTGTCTTTGACATTGATTACAACAATGAATAGAATGCCTCTAATCATATTAGGAACAATTGAATGTCTATTTTCATGAAACAATGTTATGCAAAATGATTTCAATAATGTTACTAGATATGTATTTATTTATACTGTGCACAATATTAATCTACTTTTTTAATTTTATAAGAAGAGTATTAACCCAGCATAATCTTTGAGTTATTGCCAAAATCGGATTATAACAGTCATAGATACTTTTACGTTTATGAGAATTTTATAATCTAATAACTAACCAAACTTATTATGTTGTACAATTTACACTGTTATTATTTAAGAATAATCAATTTTTTAAGAATATCACATTACTAGTAAAAACCCTATTTATCACATAGACTTAAATTCGAAGTAAAAAGTTCGAGCAACTAGATTTTGTAGCAGTAAATGCCCAAACTTTGGGGAACACCTGTATGAATTGGAGAATAGGACTATTAGATGTTTAAACAAAGCATATTAAGGATTATTCATTCATCGATCACTAAAACAAATATCTGTGCAAGTTGGTTACTATACTGGATGACTTAATTTTGGTTCTAGTTTTATAAGGCTACATTCTAAAATAGACAATAACCAGCATTTCGCAATTTCAGGCACAATAGTATCAGAAAAAAAAGATTAATGTATAGTTCATTAAATATAGGTGTTTTTATTCAATTAAAATTGCATTTCTTATCATTTCTACATTACAAATTTGAAATTCGGTTGTATATTTTTTTTTTACCTATACTATCGCACTGACTTTTTGATCTGATGGATTCGATAGATTCATTGTATTTGGCATCCGTTCTAATCCATCATGATGCCGTAATGTTCTCTGAGTTTTTATTTACGGATTATGCATATTATGCGTGAAAGATCTCATTGTGGTAATGGGCTGTTTAATGACAGGTTAAATAATGATTAACAATAGCATAGCTAAATGCGACACTGGTATAATGGATACCTTAAATGCACCTTTTCTAGATGTATCATCACTCAAAATGTATTTTATAAGTTTGGCTTCTATAAGTTGCATTTATTAAGGTCTGACTTATAATGAATTTTAATTGGGTTGCAATCACATAAGTGCATTTATAGAGGGAGTTTATATATAATGGGCCAAAAAAATATATTGCACTTGCAGAATAAAGAATGTGCATTTATTACTAAGTCCCATAATGGGCCCAGGTGTTTGTCGTGCATTTAAGAGGGTGTTGCATTTAGGGGGGTTGCATTTAGGGGGGTTCGACTGTATAATGATAATACGGCATAGTGAATTCCTTATGGGTATATGCAGTGTCCAAGAGGGAAGTATAGCTTCTGTTAGACATTGTCAAGAAACTATACTCTTCTCTGAGGCAGTTCAGAAAAGATAATGCAATACTAATAACTCTACTTTATTTTATTAAGAGGTGATAAACCTTGCCTATAGGAATTACCCTAGAAAGGGAGTATTAATACAGTTTATAGTCAAAAGCTGTTTATTAAAGTAATAACAAGAAGGGTTATCCTTAGGTTTCTGTTCCTAAAGAATCCTAAGATGTGTTTACAATATTAAAGAGAAGAGGGGTGTTTGTTGCTTAATCACACTTGAGAAATTTAGCAGGGTTTATATATCTGTGAGTTAAGCAGTTAAGTGGTCAAGCGACTAAGTGATTAAGCAACTAAGTGATTAAGCAACTAAGTAACTAAGTGACTAAGTAACTAAGTGATTACTAAGCAACTAGAAGGTTCTAGCAACTAATGACTAATGATTACTAAGTGACTAATTACTAAGCGACTAAGTGACTAAGCGGCTAAGCAACTAAGCAACTAAGCATCTAAGCGACTAAACAATTACTAATTAACCAGAATGTTCTAGCAACTTCTACTAATAATAATAATACAGTAATAAAATAATTAATACTAATAATAATAATAATAAAATAATAATAAATTATTTTATAACATTTCTATCTTCTTTAAAAATTTACTTTGTAAATTCTAAGTTCTAATCGATTCGAGAAGTTGGGTGTACTCATTATCTAGCAACTTGATAATATGTGTTGCGGTCACATACTTCAATTGTAAGATTATTTTTCTTAGTCGCAACTTGAGGACTTCATATATTCTGAGAGCATCTTTCCAAGTATCTTTTACTCTTCTGGTTACTTGAGCACTCTGAATAAGGTCTTTAATCTTGGATAGTTTATTGGACTTTAAGATTATTTGTCCTAGGTAATAGTAAGCTTTAATTTTCTTGTTGAGATTATGTCAAGTACATCCAGGATTGAATAAGAACTTTAAAATTCGATTAACTTGTTCTTTCCATATTCCTCCAGAAAAAAAGTTAGTTATGCTTCGAGTTGTTGGTTCTGGTGTCTGTTTTAAATTGTTTATTATTTGAGTTAGATGGTTAGTATTGTTAGTTTCTAACTCTGTAGGTACTTCATTAAGTAAAGTTTTGATTAAAGAAGGTTCTATTTTTTCTAATTGTAGAAATTCATCGATATCAAATTCTACAGAGGCTTCTATTATAGGGTTTAAGTCAATAACTTTTTCTGGTTCTTTATCACTCCAAAAAATAATATTTTGAGGTGATATATCTAAGTGATTTTGAAATGCAGGGTTCTGTTTCCGGATTTGAAAAAAGTTGTTTAAAGCAATTACTGTTTCTAATTGTAATTTTAAGAATTACATTTTTAGAAAAATTTGTATGATACAGGGATGTTTATATAAATTTTCAAGTATCACAATCTTCAAATAAATTGTAACATTGAAAAATTTGTGTAATATTATTGTCTTTTCCTTCAGTTTTAGAAATTTCTTCCAGAAATTTCAGTTATTCGATAAGAACGAAAGGTTCTCATGTTTGTTTTTCATAAAATTTTGCAAGATAATCACTGTTATAGTACTTTTGCAATGTTTTTTCTTTGTCATTACAAAGTTTATAGGCACTATTGTTCAATTTTTTTTTAATAATAAAGGGTCCAGTTCTTTTATCTTCGAATTTAGCTGATCGAGAATGTTCTATATCTTTTCTAATTATTCATACTTAATCACCAATTTCAAAAGTTTCATAACGGATTTTGGCATCAAAGTATTCTTTCTGTTTTTGTTGCGATTCATTGGTCTTTTCTCTTGCATCATTTTGCAATTCAAGTAGCTTGTCGATAAGCTCAAATGCTTGGTGCAATATGCTATCTTGTAAATTGTATTCTGTTTCTTCATAAGGTTCAACAGGGAGTAAGGCTTTAATTGGAAAAAAAGCTTGTTATCCATATACAAGCTAGAAGGAGGTATATCCAGTTGTAGCATGCTTCTTTGTTTGATAAGCAAACAGTACAGCAGGTATATGCAAGTCTCAATCATCATTTTTTTTGACTTTAGTGAGTAATTCACACAAGGTTCGATTAAGATGTTCAATTATTCCATTTGTTTGTGGGTAGTATGATGAAGAAAACTTATGTTTAATAAGAAACTTTTCACATAGTATGTGAACAGTTTCACTAATAAAATTTTTTCCTTGATCAGAGAAGGTAATCTTTGGCATTCCATGTTGACAAATAATTTCTTCGAAAATAAACTAAGCTAAGGTATTTGCTCTGACATTAGATGTAGCACGGGCTTCTGGCCATCTTGTTAAATAGTCAGTAGCAACAATAATATATCGATTATTTTGTTTGGTAATTGGTAGGGGTCTTACTAAGTTAATACCAATTCGTTCAAAGGCTTGTCCTATTTGGATAGAATGAAGAGGTTCAGTTCATTTGCCTTTTTGTCTCTTTTGGCATTCTTCACACATTCTAACATATTCTTGTACATCTCGATATATTTGGTCCCAATAATATCATTCAGCTATTTTATAGTACATTGCATCTGTTCCTAAGTGTCCTGCAGTAGGATGTTTATGTATTATATACAGAACAGGTTCTACTTTATTCTATTTGATAACATGAAGAGGGTATTGAGTGTTCTTTTTGTTTTTCTTGTATAATAGTCCTTTCTTAGTAGTAAAATGTCTAGCATGATGTTGTAATTGTTTAATCTGTTCCTGGGATAGAAAGTTAGGTAACTTGTCTGATTCTATATAGTTATATAAATTATAATAGAAGTCCAAATTCATGAGAAACGGTTTTGGTATAAGGTCTGTGTCTGTAGTTGAGAAGAGCATCTATGTTGGAGTGAACTCTTCCTGGTTTATGAATAATTTCAAAGTTATAGTGCTGGAGTTTTAGAATCCATCTTCTTAGATGTCTTTTAGGTTCAGTAGATTGTAACCACTTAAGAGCAGAGTGGTTAGTAATTAGGATAAACTTGGTAGTTCCAAGATATTTATAAAAATGTTTAATAACCTATATAACTGCAGCACATTCGAGTTTAGTAGCACTATAATTGACTTCTTCTTTGGTTAAGCTTTTACTAGTATAAGCTATAGGGTGTTCTTTTCTGTTTCTATCCAACTGACTAAGAGTAGCTCTGAATCTATAATAAGAGGTATTGGTAGCTAAGATGAATAATTTATTGAAGTTAGGATACTTTAATATAGAGGCTGTGGTAAGTCTCTGTTTCAATTCTTTGAAAGCTTCCTGTTGTGGTTCATTCCATATATAAGAGGTTTCTTTACATAGTAGCTAATTTAAAGGCTATGCTACTTTAGAAAAGTTATGAATAAACTGTTGATAGTAACCTATTAGTCCTAAAAATGAACATAGTTGGGTTACATTATTAGGTGGTTAGATCTTCTGGAC